TAAATGTAAATATATTAATAAATAAATTACCTTGACAATTTTCCTTCTATAATCCAGTCCTGATCGTAATAATATTTCTTAGACGGCCGTAGTGGATATGGATTTTGACATATGTAACAAATGTATATTTCTCAGAAACATCCTTTTCCTTTTCAATAAAATTACAATGTCCATGTTGCCAGCAGAGACAGAGATCATTAAACCGTCCTCTTCCATAATTAGTCGTTATAATGCAGACAAAAAAACTTTTCTAAGAAGGCAGACGTATATAACTTTATAACTTAATGTGCCACGTTGATTTTTACACACAAACAATGAAGAAGTTATTGAATTTGTAAAAGTGCAGCAACCAAGTCATAAGAACGCTTCAACATTGCAATCCTTTGATTTATCTTATACTGATTTCGAGTTTGGTTAGACAAGCTGCAAATTAAAAAATCAATAAATAACATATAAATAGATTACTATATATAAATAATTATAACCACACGCACAATCTAAATATAAACGTAAATATATTAATAAATAAATTACCTTGACAATTTTCCTTCCATGATCAAGTCCTTATCGTGATAATATTTCTTAGACGGCCGTAGTCGACATGGATTTTGACATATGTAACAAATGTATATTTCTCAGAAACATCCTTTTCCTTTTCAATAAAATTACAATGTCCATGTTGCCAGCAGAGACAGAGATCATTAAACCGTCCTCTTCCATAAAACCACATGTGCAATTTATTATTTCTTCTCTCCGAAATTGATCTACTTTTACCAGTTCGCCGTTAATCATCATCATCAACCCTTCGCTCTCTATAATATTATTATTAACCTCCTAACGACACGACGCGAACTGTCACATCACGATTTCACGACACTCACGACACACACGTACGAAGCTCGCCGCGATCTCCCGCGATCACACCCGGCTTCGACCGGCCAATCACGCACGCGGAAAAGCGGCAACACTACGTGCGAGATATTTCGACTCGGAACGCTCACTTCTCGGGTAAACATGGATTTTTTTATTATTGACTAGAACAACACAGGCGCGCGCTACGCGCGCGCTTTTATTTTATT